AATTGTCCCAATAATATACATTGCAGCAAAAGAAAATCCAGGATCATATGTTGCAAATATATATATTATGGATATAAATATTCATGAGAAGCAAGTGACTAGGTTCAGCCCACATTCAAAGAGAGGAGCATTAGGCTTCAGCCTTGAAGGGTTCAAAGAATTTGTGGATATATTTTGAAAACATCGCCATTGACCTTCTGAGTACAAATTGTTTACATTCCTATCACATGCAAAATATGCATATATATGTAAGCATATATATGTACATTTAAAATCTAACTCTTGTAAGCTATTTTAGGTATAGCTACATCAAGTATCACTATGAAGAAGAGTAGACTTTTTCTATGAATCTGTGTGCATAGTTCTATTTGCCAAATGAGGTTTTCTTTTCTTTTTTAAAAAATATAATTTATCGTCAAGTTAGCTAACATACAGTGTATACGGTGTGCTCTTGGTTTTGGGAGTAGATTCCCATGATTCATCGCTTACATACAACACCTGGTGTTCATCCCAACAAGTGCCCTCCTCAATGCCCATCACTCATTTTTCCCTCCCCTCACCGCCCACCCCGTCAACCCTCAATTTGTTGTCTGTATTTAAGAGTCTCTTATGGGCTTGCCAAGAGGGCTTGCCTCCCTCTCTGTTTGAAACTATTTTTCTCCTCTCTTTCCCCCAATGTCTTCTGTTAAGTTTTTCAAGTTCCATGTATGAGTGAAAACATGATATCTGTCTTTCTCTGACTGACTTATTTCACTTAGCATAATACTCTCCAGTTCCATCTATGTTGCTGCAAATGGCAGGATTTTATTCTTTCTTATTGCCAAGTAGTATTCCACTGTATATATAAACCACATCTTTATTCATTCATCAGTTGATGGACATTTGGGCTCTTTCCATGATTTGGCTATTGTTGGAAGTGCTGCTATAAACATTGGGGCCAAATGAGATTTTAAATTAGGTTTCCTTTTTATTTTATTTTTGAATAGATTGAACATAGTTAATTTTCTGATCATTGTCATTAAGGTGTCATGATTCAATCTTGAAGCAAGGATTACTTTTATTATTATTATTGTTATTATTATTATTTATTTTTATATTTGAGAGAGAACGTGTGAGCGTGGGAGAGGGGCAGAGGGAGAGAGAGAGAGAGAGAGAGAGAGAGAGAATTCTAAGCAGGTTCTATGCTCAGCGAGGAGCCTGACATGGGGCTCCATCCCATGCCCCTGGGATCATGACCTGAGCTGAAATCAACAGTCAGATGCTCAACTGATTGAACCACCCAGGTGCCCCAAGGATTAATTTTTTTTAATTGACTGCATCTAATAATTCATACATAATACATAACCAAATGCTTCTCAAAGCCAGCCCCCCACCATGTTCTTGGCCACCATCCTCTCCCAGCCTCCCTGCATCTCTCCACATCTTTAGCAATGTCTTCCTAGCTCTTCACTCTTTCTCTCCACTCCAAGGCATCCTCACATCAGTGATGCAAAAACTCAATGCTCTTTTCCTCATTCCAATGAACTTTGAACTATAGCAGCCATGTGGAGAATTGTCTTTTTTCCAGCTCTGACCCTGGGGTTCCACTGCATGGCAGTCTTGCTCAGGCTCAACCCTCACCAGTTCTCCTCAAAATCAGCGCCCCCAGGCTCTGGTCCTCAGGCTCGGGCTCTTGCGCGTTGGTGAAGATGTTCCAGCCAGTCTGAGGAACCAGCTGGGGAACAGACACTGAGTCATCCCCTCTTCCCTCCTCCCTCCTTGGTGGGGACCGATTTTCCAAAAGCAGTCTGGCTTGCAGAGAAGTATCCTGGCTTTCATGCAGAAATTGTGGACCCTCTCACCCCAAAGTCATCTTGGACCCTTAGAAGAGGGTTTTTACTTTGTATTTGTGTAATCCACAGACCTATTTGGATAATATTCCCAGAATAAAGGTACAAGCTATTAAAATGTTACCAAAGGAGTGTTAAAATGTCTACCTTTGGCAAGCGCTTAGAAATTTTAAATGACAAAAAGAGTGTTTTCCCCCAGTTTCTACTCATTAGGTTCCCCCCCCAAATTTAGGGTGTGTCAGCGGGTGAATTCCAGGTATGCATGGGTTCCAGGGCAGTATCTTGGCGCTGCTGCACCCCTCGTTCTGTCCCTGTTGGGCTGCACCCCACATCCTGCCCTGCCCTCCCACTCCCTGCAGCCCTGCTGCCCAATCCTGCTGTCAAACCAGCCCCATCCCTCGTTCTAGAGCCCATGTGTACCCCATTTCCCCCAGTGGGTCTCCACACTGAACCCCCACTTCCCTATTTCGTGCTGCCCAGGATTTCTCTCTTATATGGCTTAGGCTGCAGCAGGCAATGGGAGGTGGGGTGCAGGAATGCCTCTAGTCCCAAGAGAAGGGAGAGAGTGAGAGGACTCCCCTTTGCTCCTGGGATGTGGAGTGTGTGTGTGTGTGTGTGTGTGTGTGTGTGCGTGTGTGAAGAAGCACTTAGTGGAACCCCCATCCCTCTCAGGGCCACACCTACTCAAATTCCCTCTTGCTGACACACCCAGAGAGTTAAGGAAGGGCTCCAAAGACAACCATCCCCCAGGTTTGTTGGACAAGCTGACTTTTAGGCTTGGTGAAAATGGGCACTCTTGGGTTTTAGCGTGATGACCAGAAGACATTGGTCTGGGGCTATTTAGTGAGCACAACTTCTTGAGTCCCCCATCCCCCATTTCCTCTTGGGAGGTTGGGACAAGGCATTCTCCCAATCTAGAATGAGGTCTTGTTCAGTTTCAGGAAGCCCTACGGGGAACGTCATCAAGTTGATATCCCCGATCATGTCATTCAAAATCTCCAGAATAACTACCTCATATGGTTGTAGAAGTGCTTGGTTTAACGTCCAGCTTCCATGTAAGATTTCCTCCTACACCCCGGTGCCCCTTGATACATTGCCTGTGGGGTACACAATAATGACTGGGCATCGCCACATGGTTATATTGCAGCAGTACAAGGATGCCAGGTTCTGGCACACTCCATAAGTTCCCTCCTGGGGTGCAGACCTGTGAGGTACGCAGCACAGCAAGCCTTCCAGGGCTTTCCCACAGCCCGGCTGCTATGATCATTTCAGAAGTAGAAAGTGGACTTTCATCAGTAGTGACCAGCAGGGGCCCCTTGAAAAGGAAAAGAAAGATATCTGCATGTGTTGAATTCTTTTTTTTTTTTTAAGTTTTATTTATTGAGAGAGAGAGAGAGAGAGAGGGAGAGAGAGAGAGAGAGAATGAGCAGGGGAGGGGCAGAGAGAGTGAAAGAGAGAGATTCCCAAGCAGGCTCCACGCCGCCAACATGGAGACCAATGTAGGGTTTGAATTCACAAATCATGAGATCATGATCTGAGCCAAAATCAAGAGTTGGATGCTCAACCGACCGAGCCACCCAGGCACCCCTGAATGTATTGAATTCTTACAGAATTTTTATAAAAACCCTGTGGTCTCAGCATTCTTATCCCTAGGTGATAGTTGAAGAAACAAGTTCAGTTCAGTCATGCCCCAAGGCTGGTAAAATTCCTTTATTTCTATGAATTAGGAGAATAATTCTGAGTTCTAACTAGAAGAGTTGGAACACAGAACATCATGTTCAACTTTCAATACGGGGAATCTCCAATCTGTTAAAAGCAAAGCCAAGATAGTGTTCAAATAATAAACAATGTAAAACATTTTTCCGAGGTCCAAATATCATTCTTACAAGCTGTTAAACCATTGGATGCCAGTGATAGATGGGTGTGGAAAATAGGCATACCCCTATGTGAGCTACTGGCTCTTGCATTTTATAGGAGCATAGCAACTACAGCCTTCCCCCCCCCCATTAGAAAAGATTACTGAGGAACCGCAGTGCATTATGGGCTGCAGCAGGCTTTTTCCAAATGCTATCTCATTTCATTTTCACAAGGGCCCTATGAAGTCAGTATTGTTGTCTCCAAATTATGGATGGAAGATTAAAAGTCCACAGAAGTTAAAGAACTTGACCAAGGTCTTATGATTGGTAAAGGATAGAGCCCTCCTAAACTCTTTTTAAGGGACTTTTCTTGGGGTGGCTCAGCTGCTTGAACACCAACTTCAGCTCAGGTCATGATCTCATAGTTCGTGGGTTCAAGCCCCGCATCGGGCTCTGTGCTGACAGCTCTTAGTCTGGAGCCTGCTTCAGATTGAGTGTCTCCCTTTCTCTCTGCCCCTCCCCTGCTTGTGCTCCCTGTCTCTCTCTCTCTCTCTCTCCCTCAAAAATAAACATAAAAAAAAGACTTTTCTTCATATTCACTATTTTAAAGAATGTAAACACACGGCAATATGTTAGTGTCACCACAAAATTCATAGGTGAATATATTAAAACTAATGCCATTGAACTATACTACTAAAAATGGTCAACGGAGCGAGTTTTATGTTATGTGTATTTTACCACAATTAAAAAAAAAAGATTTACAGGGCCTAGATAAACCATTTATTTTTATTATCAATATACTTGGTCCAAAATAACATTATTAACCGTAACTGTCAATCCGTGAGCTGCAAATATTTTGCGTTCCTCTCATGCTATCATCCCTGTGGTAGACATAAAAGAGTGACTGCTGTCCCAAACAGCTAGTTAGGGAGACCAGAGTTACAAAGGAACATGCAAGAGTTAACAGTATGACACAAAATGTCTAAGGCTACAGATTTAGGCACTAAATAAGACACAAAAAAGATATGCTCAGGGATTTAAACGACTGATTAAATTAGCATTTATTTAGCATCTAGTATGACATAGGAACTTTATAAAACATAAAAAGGACAAGACATTTGTTTTGAATTTCTGAAACAGGTTTTTATTTAGGTTGGAGTTTAGGAATCCCCAGTTTGGGATGCGAGGTAGTTGATGGCTGGAATTTGGCCTGTTTGGGCCCTGGATGTGCTCATGATCTTGTGCATCATTTCCTGTGAGGGGCAGCACAGGAAGCTGCTAAGGCTTCCCTGATGGTCTCTCTCTTTCTTCCAAGGTTAAAAGGCAGTGGGGTCCTGATACTCACCCGACAAATAGGAGACCTGTGGGAGCTTCATCCATCCTTCGACGTCGTGGTCAACTGCTCAGGCCTTGGAAGCAGACAGCTTGCACAAGACTCGGAGATGTCCCCCGTGCGGGGCCAAGTGCTCAACGTTCGGGCTCCCTGGGTGAAGCATTTTATCCGAGATGGGAGTGGGCTGACATATATTTATCCCGGCACATCCAATGTAATCCTGGGTGGAACTAGGCAACAAGGAGACTGGAATCTGTCCCCAGATGCAGAAATTAGCAGAGGTATTTTTTCCCGGTGTTGTGCTCTTGAGCCCTCCCTCCAGGGAGCCTGCGACATAAGGGAGAAGGTAGGCTTAAGGCCCTTCAGGCCTGCAGGTGTGCGGCTGCAGACAGAGTTCCTCACCCAGGACGGCAGGAGGCTGCCCGTGGTCCACCACTACGGCCACGGGAGCGGGGGCATCTCCGTGCACTGGGGCACTGCTCTGGAGGCAGCCAGGCTGGTGAGTGAGTGTGTCCAAGCCCCCAGGACCCCCACTCCCAAGTCAAACCTGTAGGTGACATGACATGACGGCAAATGGCCCCAGACACTATGGATCAAAACACAATTTAAGCACCAGAATGGATTCCAATAACTTTTCCACTGCATGAAAAGTTAATGAGGTCTGTCTTTGTTTTCAAAATTAGAAATGATGCAATACGAATCAGTAGCCTGAGACTGGTACTCATCTGTAGAACTAGACTCAAGTCTAGTGCTAATGACATAGAGCATAAAGTTCTATTTTTGTTAAAAACACTTGTTACAGAATAAGATTTCTCTCAGACCTGGCGTTCAAAGATCTGTGCTAATTTTCATGGATGCTGGAAGCTGTAGGGATGTTGAAGTTTTGGGGGCTAATAAATCCCCAGGAAGAGACAATGTACGGAAAACACCTAACTCACTGTTGCAAAGCCGCCCATGATGTTTGTAGGTTGCACTCAAGTGAGCATTATAATCCCTCTAAATAAAACACACAGTGAACGTGTGGCACAGGCTTATTCCATTTAATGGCAGACAAAGCATGATTCCTGCCAGTACCCGAGGCAGCCTCTTCCACCCCTCAGCTGGTCATGATGCTTAGAAGACAGGGATCAAGTTACCTATGGACATGGCATCAACCCAACGGCTGCCTGGGGTCAGTCACCTAAGGGTCGTACTCTCCATTACCACAAATGATGGAGCGCTAGCTTGTTGTGTGGTTGACTTTGCCTAAGCGTTTTTGAAGATTGAATAGCAGGTGCAGCCAGAGAGCTAATTAGCTGATTAGGATGGAACAATCGTTCTGAATGAAATATATCCAGAGTTTTCCGCAGGTTGTTTAAAAAAAAAAAAAAAAAAACTACTGGGGAGGAGGGGACATGTGTCATGATCAAATGAATTTGGGAATTGCTGATACAAATCAATCTAGCCTGATTTCTTGACTCTGGCCTGCTCAGAGGCTTTAATCTGTTCACGTGTATTGTGGACGGTCAGGAGGGTTTTGGCTTTAGTGAATGGTAAAGGAGGAGCTCCTCACCGAGGTAAGGAAGCTTTGGAGAATTGTACAGAACTTTAATTTTAATTTTGGCAGGAGATGGCTTGTGCTTAGTGATAATAATTCTCGTTTGGACATCCCAGGGGTGGGGGTGGGGGAGATATGGGTTTGGCAATGAGAAGGTGGGGAAGAGAAAGTCCCCAGCAGAGCTCCATTTGATTGTTTTGTTCATTGAGCTTTTGCATATGATTTTCTCTAGGAGAACATTCTGCTGGTAAAAAGAAAGACGGAGAGACAGAGAGACAAGGAGAGAGAGACAAGGGGATGAGAGAGAGAGAGATCTTAACTTCCTTTGCGGTATTAAACATTCTCCTTTCAATCAGTGTGCTTCTTCCCCATAGATTTCCACCAGGGGGCGATATTGTATCAGATTCAGGTAAATTGGTAAATTTGAAAATTTAGAAATGACTAGAAAAAAAAAAAAAAAAAAATAGAGACCAGCCTGTGTGGAGTGAGTGTGTGATTCTTTTAAGGTTTTGGAGTTTACATGCCCCAGATGTAACTGTTTCTGTTTAAAGTGTTTGAGAGACGTACAAGCTTAGACACAGTTAAGAGCACGCACCCGTGTGTGTGCTCATCACAGCCTGTGAGAAATAGTAAGTTACGTTAACATGGCATTTGAAAAAGACGCAACAAGCTGCTTAATGGTTAAAATGAAAAGGAAGGCTGCTGCTCGAAATACGTAGGGCTCAGCTGTGTTTGCCGTGGTTTTAAGCACACGCGTTTGCTCCTCACGCCCTCAGTTTAGATCCTGCAGCGTTTTCATTTCGCACACACAGGCTCATGCTCCATGCTGCTATGTGCTACCCTGTTTCAGTCCACATTTGATTTTTCTAGTCCCACATTGCAAGACTGAGAGATTGGAGGCTTCTGGAGAAAGTGGTCATGGCTCCATGCCCTGATTTCGTTGTCACTAATAGCTAAATAGGCGCTCCCAGCGTCACTCAAAGGTTTATTCATTGTGGTCAGCAGCTGCCAACGTGGGCTGCACATTCGAATCACCGGGGAAGTTTTGAAAGAAATACTGATTTCTGGCCTGCTATATTAAATTAGAATCTTTGGAGGGTGGTGTGAGACCCCGACATCAGTATTTGCTCATGCCTGCCCACGGGGTTCTAACCTACAACGGCAGCTGAGGGCTACTGAGCCCTCTTGCCTCCTCTCTTCCTAGGACTCCGGTGCTACCATAACCACTACCCTTTCCTTCCTTCTTTGTCACCTTGGGGCACTGAGTTCAGAGGGATGTGTTCACGTTCAGTGGTGTGCCCTTAGCACTTCTGGGCAAGGTGGCCTATGGAATTAGCTATCTCTCTCAAAGTGGCTCTCTAGAAACGCTGGGAGTTACCTTGCTGGTTGTAGGCCAGCTGCCCAGAGTCAGCTGTCTTTGTCTGAAAGATGAGACACTGAATATACAAACGGATGATGGCCAGACTACATATAAAAATAGAGCTCTGACCTACAACCTGCAGCAACCCGTGCAGGAAGCCAAGCCCCTTAATCTACACCAAGCAGCCCAGGGAGCCTGCCTGCGATAGGTCAGCCTCCCAGGGGGCCAGATTACTATCTGCATCGTTAGATCCAGAAAACTAAACAACCATTTCTGAAACAATTGGCCCCAAATGGCCAGGGCTTGATTATTAATTGACAGCTTCCCTAATTTTCGTCCCACTTCCAACTTAGGACCAACTAGAGAAAGCCAATACTCACCCCTAATCAATGACACGGGACGCCCCATTTCTACTGAGCTTGCTTACAGTTTCCTCGTGACAACAGTGTCTATTTAGGGTACACCTACAGTCTTCTCTTTTTTCCTACTATAAAGCTTTCCCACTCCTCAGCCTGTCTTGGAGCCATGGCGGCTGACTCCCTTGCTGTAGCAAACTCTGGATAAATCGTCATTTTTTTCACATTGGTAGTCTTCATTTCCACAAACGTTTCCTGTTTCTTTCTCTTTTTTTAAAATTTTTTAAGTTGATTTATTTATTTTGAGAGAGAAAGAGAGACAGCCAGGGAGGAGCAGAGAGAGAGGGGGAGAGAGAATCCCAAGCAGGCTCTGTGCTTACAATCTGTGAGATCATTACCTGCGCTGAATGCAAGAGCCGGACGCTTAACCTACTGAGCCACCTAGGCGTCCCACAGGTTTCCTGTTTCTATGAGTTGTCTTCTTGGGGAATCTGTGCTGAGGCCAGAGAATAGAGTATTTCCCTCCCCACCCCCACCCCCCATATTCTATTACAGACCATTTAAACATTTTTTTCTGAACACGGAGAACAACCGATTTCTTTCTTAAATCTCTTCTTTCAAGTGTTTAACATTTGTGGCTAAGCTCGGGCCTGCTGTGCCTGTGACCCAGAGGGACACGGCCACTTGAGGGTATGGGCATTGCAAAGCTAGGTGCTTCTTCACCATCAAAGGTTACGTACATACTTTTAGGATTTTATCCACCTGGGAAGAAGTTAAACAGAAAGACCACAGTCCAGAAGGACACGGTTGTATAGAAGAAAGGCTACTTTTAAAAATGACATACCTTGTTCCTTTCATTGAATAGATGCATTCAAACCAATTGATATTTGAACCAGTTTTTTTTTTCAGTTCATTAAGAGCTTTCAGAGAAAAAGAAGAAAAATAATGGCGGGATCTGAGTCCTCTGGAAGTTGTAGTTCTGTTGAAAACCTGTTCCAGGACTCTCCTAACTTGTCAGATATTTCAAATGAATGTAGCGCTTTTAGTATTTTTTTCTTGGTTCCTCTCATCTTTCTTCTTGAGGGTGTGAATTATGGAGACACATTTGAAACCTGTTTCCTCTGGGTATCATTCACTCAGGAAAAGCCAATTGAGATGTTTTTTAAGTGGTCCCTTTCTTCTTGAAAAATCTCAGCAGTTTCCTACCAGGCCTGGGGGCTTTATTATCCTAAGTGACTTTGCTGCCTATAAATTACAGCCGTAAGTAGCCAGAGGGAATGAGTTAACCAGATCTCTGAAAGAATGTAACCAACGTTTCTTCAATTATTAGCAGAACAGTTGACTTCCATCTGCTCAGGGCACCTGCCGACCTGGCCCGCAGCCATGCTACCCACAATTCCATCACTCAGAGTCTGTTTCTTTTGAATTATAATTTTTACCTTGGTGCAGGTTCTACGATATCAGCCCACCCCCAAATTTTATATGTATCCTAGTATGTCCCTCCCTTACAAAGCCAAGTGGGCTGGCAGTGGACCTCAGCCAGTGTGGCGAATACTCCACATGGTTTGCCTGCTCTGCCCAAGCCCACTTTCCCGGGAAATCTGCTCAGATCTGGGGGCTCACTATCTGGGCAGTATCCCCCATGTCCTGCCTCTCTGGCCACAGCTTATTGGATCAGAGGAAACTATCAGGTTTACGTTCAGTTGCAAGTAACAGAAACTTCCCCAAATAGTTGCTTTAACAAGATGGGCATACATTTCTCTCACATAAAATATGCCTGGATGTAGGCAGTTCAGGGTTGGTGTGGGGACTTCCTCAGTAACCCAAGCTCAAGGATGTGGCTGTTGTGCTCTTGGCCACCACATCATCACATCTAACCCCAAGGAAACTTCCCAGAAGACTTGCTACACTGTTGCTTCTATCTCATTGCATAGGATTTAGCCTCAGGGCTACACTGAGATTCAAGGGAGGCTGGAAATGTTGTCTTTTGGCATGGTGATAATGTAAAGGTCAAGGTTTTAGCAGGCTCTTCTAAAAGTATCCAGCTATAAATTGGATTAAGCCAGTCAGATTCTTAAGAATTTACACCAAGGGATCCTAACACTGTCTCCTGGTGATGGCAGGCTCTGGAGACATGTACGCTTGGGCCAATGGGCTAGGTTGTTCAGATTATTACAGAGGAAGCCAGGCAAGAGAGGATGCAGGGGAGAACAGAGAGGGAAGCCCAATGGGCCATGTACTTCTGGGGAAGCATTGAGAATGACCTCAGGTCCTGACCCAGTTCTACTCCTCATGAGGTC